TATTTAGCTTGGCAATTGTTTCAGTGATCTTACATCTGTTGTAGAGATATGAAGTAGTTAAGATCTAAAAATAAAATAAAAAATTATATAAATAAATAAGATTTTTCTTATGATTAAATACTGAATTCATATTGTTCTATTAATTTTTTTTAACTTTCATGATATTAAAGCAAGTATAGTGATCTTTGCTCTTATATATTGATAATGCTAAAAATAATTTAGATAAAATATTTTCATTGAACCTTCACTTATATTAAATTCGGCCTTGCTTTAACTGCAATGGGTCTCTTTATAAGAAAATATAATAGTCATAAGTAAAAAATAACTTCAAATAATGTTATTTCTCTTCTAAAGCTTTTTATGAAAATTACATAGATCTAATAACTTATGAAGAAGCAATTAAAGAAGCAAGATAGAAGGGTATAATGAAGTAAGAAATTTGGTCTACAGAAAAGAACAAAATATAAGAGTTGGTAGATTTATCAAAAGCAAAAGTACCTATTTTAGTAAAATAAATTTATAAAATCAAATTGAGTCCCTTAGATAAAGACAAGGATAATTGCAAGAAGGAATGAACAAATAGAGGATTTGGATTATTTTGAAATATTTGCACAAATTGTGTATTAATCAACAATACATATAGTATCTACATTGATAGCTAGAAGAAATGTTGCATCAAGCAAATGAATGTCAAGACATTATTTATTAATAGGACATAGATGAAGAGGTCTTTATAGAAATTACAAAAGGATAATAAGGGGTAGAAACATGGAAGGTATGTAGACTTTTAAAAACCTTGTATAGACTATGTCAAACTCTTTGAGCTTGGTATAGTTAGATTTACATGTTATTGTATAATAACATAGCCATTAGGTGAAAGAAGAGAGGAAATATTTTATTATAGAGAAGCTTAAATGAAAATATTTTATCAAATTACCTTAGAAATATAGATAATAGACAAGGAGGTAGTAAACATTATTAAGTGTTAATATTGCTTTCTTGTAGACAAGACTAATACTTCCTTTATAGGGCATAAATGAGCCAACTTAAAATAAATATGATACATAATTAATATAGACATCTTTAAAAGGGAATTAAGAATAAGTTTTAGATAAAAAGAATTACATCAAAATACCAAGAATTAATACTTGGACAGAATTAGATATAAATCAAGATTGAAATCAGATCCCAAGGCACAAAACCATGCACCTATAGCAATTCTAGGATTCTTTGGTTGATTGAAAAGTAGAATTTGAAAGCAGACCTGTAAGAAGATTTTTAAAAGTTAATTTCATATGATTTGAAGGTATATTGAGGTTTTGAAAGCTTTTCAATGTGAGAGGTGTATTCAATGGATTTGAATTTTAAAATAAAAAGAATTTCACAAAATTAATGATTTTGTGAGTGTTATAGGATATTTACAAGTAAAAATTTGTCAATATGTCACTGATTTTGTTGTAAATATATGTAAGAAATTTGATGTCAATCAAGTTGTTAGATTGAAGGTTGTGAGAGTTTGTTTAAATTATGGTCTTGAATAATTAAAATTTAGGATTAGTGAGGATTTTTGCAATCTTGCAATATTTGCATGTTTGATTTAAGCAAAAATTAATGCAAGTAATATAGAATTAAATACCTATAAACTAACTAATTTTTGGAGCTATTTAACTATTCAATAAGAAAGAATCTTTATTGAAAGATTAACATTTAAGTTGGAGAAGGAAGACGGCCAACATTTGACAAGTTTTGAGAATTCTTTTTGCAATTAGTGAATTCGATTCTTCTCAAGTTTATATATATATATATATATATATATATATATATATATATATATATTAAATTTTAATTTAAATTTTAGTCAAGATTAATGGTTCAATTAATATTTATTGAGATTTTAAAACATTGATAGTGGTTGATTAAGATTTAATTAGGACTTTTTTTTGGATTGTTTAGGATTTGTTTAGGATTTAATTAAGATTTAATTAAAATTTTATTAAGATTTGGTCTAAGATTTGATTAGAATTTCATTATAATTTGGTCTAGGATTAGGATTTAAGATTTGATTATAATTTGTTTAGAATTTAATTAGGATTAATTTAGAATTTCATTTGAATTTATTAAAGATATTTTTTAGAACTTATTGAAGATAATAATAGAATTTGATTTAAATTAAATTATAATTTTTATTTTTAATATTTTTTTAATATATCTTTGATTTTTTTTAGGATTTTTTTATTATGAATATTCTTTTAAGATTAATTTATAATTTTTTAAATATATTTTATGAATTCTTTAAAAATTATTTTAAGATTTAATTAAAGATTGATTAATATTGTTATAATTTAATTAGAGTTTCTTTAAGATTCTATTAGAATTTTTTAAGATCTTGTTGCAAGTTCTATTTTATCTTCCACAACTATGTGCCTAGTATATTTTCAAGCAAACTTTGCAAAATACAACAATGTATCTAAAATAAAAAGATTTAAATATGAATATTAGAGATTGAAATATGTTTTATCATATCAGGATGGAAAGTATATGATTCTTTTGTTATATATTAGTGATTTGCTACTAATAAGGTAGAGTAAAGAAAAAATTAATACAATCAAAGCTTTATTTATCATTAAATTTGAAGTGAGGCTTTTAGGAGATGCTGTCACGAACATATATATATTTATCTTGATAATTATTTAAATAATAAGAATAGATAGAAGTAATTCAAAGTAAATAAATATAATAATATCTTATAGAAAGCTTCCTAGAAGCTTCATAGATGCTACTTTGCCTTTATACATGTCTATAGATGATTGGTAGGTTGAAAACTTGGCCAACAAGGAGACCATGTATTGACATGTTGACCACTTATAGTATAAGTTGGACATATGGCACACACCTAGGAAACTTGTCTTATAAATTAGACATGTGTCCTATAGCATGTTGCCATGTATTTTTTAGTTAAGTAATATATATAGAGGTAAAAATGAAGTCTTCCTCACTCTTATCAACTCCTTTCTTGCTTTTAATCTAGTTTTAAGAGTCTTATGTTTTCTAGTCTTTGACAATAGTCATTCCAATTCTTCCTTGAATATACATACTTTCTTCTATTTTGTCACTTTCCTTTTGATACAGATTCTACGAGTTTATATATCTTCTCCCAATTTGTATTCTTGACAGATGCTAGATTATATCTAGACATTGACATAGTATCATAGACATACATATTTATTCTAATATTTGTTTATGTGATTAGGTAGAAATAGGTAAAATAGATTTATTTCATAATATTTTCTAAAAACACTTCTTAGAAGCTTTATAGATGTTACTTTGACTTTATATAGAATTGTGGTTGATTAATAGATTAGAAACTTGGTCAACAAATTAACCACATATTGGTAGCTTGAAACAAGCTAATTATGTGACACACATATAAAAAACTTGTTTTACAAGTTAAAATATATATCTTGCAAAATCAACACGTTTTCGAGGTCTTATAGGACATAGCCATGTAGCTCTTAATTAAGAGTATATATGGAAGTAAGAGTGAAGTCTTCGTCACTCTAGTCAACATCTTTTTAGTCTTTAGTCTTATTTTAAGACTTTCTAATCTTCTTGACTTTAGCAATAGCCATTTTAGTTTAATATTATATCATTTTTGAATAATTTTTTAGTCTTTTTGAGTGACACAAGAATGTATTGAGATTTTTTTTTTTTTAAGATTCATGTCTTTGACAATTTGACAAGAGTCTTGATTCATTGTTCTTATCTTATTTTAGAAATAAGTGGATTATCCTACTTCTATTATTGTGATTAAAGATCATGGATTATCCACCTTTAAACAAACTATTTAATTATTTAACATTGATTTTTTCTTGAAGAGAGTGGATTACCCTTCTTTGTGGAAATTTTATTTTGATATTAGAGGTTACAAATTATCTTCCTCTAATTTGACTATGAATTTATCAAGTTATTTGAAATGGAAGAAAAATCATATGTTGGTTGCTTATGGGATAAGCTAACAATGTGACGTACATATAAAAAACTTGCCTTGCAAGTTAAAATATGTATCTTACAATGTCAACATGTTTTAAAAGCCCTATAAGACATTGCCACATAGTTCTTACTTAAGAGTATATATGGAGGGAAGAGTGAAGCCTTCTTCACTCTTATCAATACCTTTCTACTCTTTAGTCTTCTTTCAAGACTTTTTAGTCTTCTTGTCTTTGCCAATAGCCATTCTAGTTTAATACTCTATCATCTTTGAGTGATTTTTTAATCTTTTTGAATAACACAAGAGTATATTGAAGTTTTCTTTCTTTGAAATTTATGTTCCTAATACATAGAATACAACACTTATAGAATCTACTTATATCAAAGATAATTTTATGTAGACAATACTTGACCATTTTAGAATACAACACTATAATTTCATATTAATTCTAATTCACAATGGTTTTAAGCTTCAAAAATACATGAATACAAAGCCAATTGATCTAACATTATATTGATCACTTATCAAATTTCTATTATTTATAACATAAATAATAAAAGAAATATTAATTATACCAAGATTACTATTTGCAAGCACATATAAGAATCAAAAGATGCTTATTGCATTGCTGGAAAGAACATCTTACATTACATCAAAGAAACTATGAATTGGGGTCTATATTTTCCTACAATAAGAAAGTTAATTTATCATACCTTCACCAACTTTAATTATGACCATGATTTAGATACATGATGGTTTACCATATAGATTATACACAAGCTTGAAAGCAACACCATGGATTGGAGCAATAAACTTCGATTGATTATTATTCTTTCTACCATAGAAGCAAAATATCATGCTTTATCAAAAGCTGCAAAGGATACCTACTACTTACACATATTACTGAAAGAACTTTACTTATGTAGTAAATCACCAGTTCAATTCTACAGCAATAATCAATCATGCATTAAGCTAATAGACAATCATGTATTACACTCACAAACTAAACATATTAAAATACAACATCATTTTATTTTAAAAAGACAAGCAAGAGACATAATTATACCATTTGTACCGAACAAGCTACAACATACTGATTGCTTAACAAAGGGGCAAGATCAACCACAATTCTATGCAAATATGGTAGAGCTTGGACTTAAATCCTTGTCTATTTGAGCTTAATCCCTAAAATCTAAGTAATTCTTAGCCTCAATGAGAGATTTAAAGCACTCGTATTCAGATCTACTAAACCCATTAACACTAGGACTATATCATCCCATGTAAGATATATTTTTCGTCAAAATCCTTTTCTAACAGTATATAATTTCTTAGTTGAGAGCACATTAGAAGAAGAATACACCTCTAAGGAACGTGCAGTCCTCCAATATTGGCACCAGCTCGATTGAGGTGATATCTCCCGCACCAGCGACAGAAGCTCCATGCGATGAATCATAGGCATGAAGGAGATGCAATGCATGAGATGGCGGCACAGAACTCATGGGCTCCACCGCAGCTGACGAAAGCGAAGGCTCAGCGGCGCCATGTAGATGCCACCTCATCCCGAGAAGGATGGGGCCATTACATGGCTCTAGCAGAGCTTGCAACACCACCCAACTAGGAATTTAATGTGCTTAATCCCACATGGCATCCTCTCTTTCGTCAGAGCATATTCATAGTCAAGCCTGACATGAATACCTTTTTTCCATGTGTTCCCAATAGTACTCCAAAAGAAAAAGAAAAAGAAAAAAACAAAGCAGAAGCTAATTTTTCTACATATGGACTTGTGGATCCATTTTCCATACACTTGTACCCCCCTAGCCCCTGCCATGAGCTCCTTTCTCCTAATTGCCACGTGCATGCCTCTAATTGGTCTTTCCTTTTACTTACCACATGGACGATTTTATTAAATCCATAACTGGACTACTAACCACCAAACTTAAAATAAAAAATAAAAATAAAAATAAAAAAATGAAACTTTGATCCCATCAACGGAGCTTAATTATATAGTATTAGTGAACTTACTCTCACTCAACAAGAGAGTACAAACCCTCTTCAGTTCATGCCACATGTAGAAAAAAAAAAAAAAACAAACAAACAAACAAACAAAAAACACAATCTGCAAAGGGATGTGACTACAAAGGTTTTTTAAAAAAGGAACAAAAAAATTGTTTCTTTGGTCAGCGCACCCGTTTCGGAAAAAAGAAAAGAAAAGAAAAAGCATTCGAAGAGTCCCCAGCTGGTGGCTGAAAATAGCCCAGCCCTGAACAGAAACCAGTCACGCCCCTCCATGCCAGCGGTACTCCTCACAACGCTCCTGCACATACACACCTTCCACCAACTTCGTCACTCATTCCTTACTCACATTTGACAGAGCCACTCAAAACCATTGGAATTCCCTCCACCAGTACTCTTTTCATTTGTGCCCTAACAGAAGAAGAACATCAATCTTGGAATAATACAATCATATGAAAAAACCAAAAGAAATGATCAAATTTCAACTAATAACCAACGTGGTCACAATCTACACAGACATAACCTCTAATCATCAACATCGTTGACTGTTGCCCACTCATACAAACCAGTCAAGCAATAACTTGTAACTTTTTCATGCAACAACCACGCGACAGCCTCCTAACCCTCAGAGCATCGTAAATGAGTTCCTCCAACGGACCTCGCAGCTGCGACCGGTATTTCATGTGGTGTATACGCCACTCAGCGTGCGAAGTAGAAGAAGGTATCGTCAAGCACGTCATGAGCGACTCTGACACACCACAACATTCGAGCCTCCATAACTGCAAAGAAATTCCGCAAGCGTTCCTTCCAATTCACGGCGGGAGCCAAGAAAATAACGGAACTGGATGCATGTGCGTAAGTGGAGACGCGTGCTCCCCTTGCGGTTCCAAGGACTACTGGAGATGCTCTTAGCATTGACAATATGTCCCACACAACTTCAGCTGCTCTAATACTCCGTAACAAGACACAACTTTCCAAAATCATACCTTCATGCCCAATTATACCTCGTTGCCTACAACCAAATTCCCGCCCTAGAGCTGAACATTCGACTGCAATACAGCTTCGATCCATCCGTTCTAGTTCCCAAATTATATCTCAGATCAACCTTCGAGATTCTCATCTTGCACACAACCCATAGCCGGCTACTCAACCTCCGATAATCAGCCCCACTTAATGATGAGAGACAGACTATTAATTGAGGTGGCGGACTTCAGTGCCTTCCACACTCCCTGCATGTTTGTACTCTTTTGTTGCTCATCATCTCGCAACTCAACATCTGGATATGCTTCAACCATCGACCCCGGATCTATCTCGTAGCTCGACTTGAAACAAAAAATTGCTTCTTCTAGACACCCTCTCTACATATTGCTCCCGATTATGCTCCCGATTTTGCTTCCGCTTCCGCATTGTCAATTGAAGAACCCAAAATAATACGAGAATATAACTACCTTCACTATAGTTTTTGACAAAGAAGAAGAAAAAGATCAACCAATATAGTGTTGGACCTGTATATGAGCATGTACTCTACAATCACAACTCCGTCAACGGTTCACTTCCATTTCACTACACTGCCCTCCTGCTTTGTTACACTATCTCCATATACTGAGGCAAAGTATAATATATACAAGCCCAACATTGGTTCGAACTCCTACCTCAACCAGCCTCACACTATAAACCAGTATCAGGCCATGAAGATTCATCCGCAAATATCACCAACCAGATAAGGTGCAAGATAAAATGACCAAGACAAAAAATTGCGTCCAAAGCAGGACTGAACAATTTTGAGATGGTTATTGTACTAAGTCCTCTCCCTCAATAAAGTCGAACAAACATATTTACAATCAAAACATTTTCATCGTTCAAGCTCATTCGTCATCAGCACTTCAATTTTGAGGAGTATAATCTTGTAGCTTTATGCCCTGGCATGTAATTATTTACACAAGCATGCACAGCATCATCTTCAATACCACAGCATTGTACAGGAAACTTACCACTATTGCATTTGTCCTCAATGGTGTCCCACTCTGGTTGGCTTCATCACTTATCACCCATTCTATAGACTCTGCATCAGGATTGTGCAACTCGTCACTCAGAGGACCATGTTCACCCACGCATCCAATTGCCAATGAGGTTGCGACTGGGTTACATAAAATATTGACAACCTCAGTTGGCCACGTGCTCCAGTGTTACAACACAACAATAGCCAAGAGGGCATCGGTTCACAAATTGAACAAAATATCATCCATGCATGCCATACAGGAGAGAATGACACGCCAGAGCAGATGTATTACCAGACGTTGACGAATCGGAAACAAAAGTAACTCCGTTCTATACTAGATCTCTACCTCTTTGGTTCCTCATCATCTTATTTGATCTGGGTCGACAATACTTACGTAAACTATTGTACAGACTTTCTATAATCTGAGCTGGAAGCTGCATGTCTCTGAAGTCCTTTGGCGTCAACTACCTGAACTCCTTGTTCTTGTTCTCACAAAATTGCTTGATTGTTTTGCACGATTTCGTAACCGTATTCATCCTCATTCGACACTCTACCCCTGTCCTTCCGGGCGCGTTTTCTGCTATGTCCCCCCATGACCGTTTTCTACCAAAATGCTTTTCAAACCGACTCTTAACACTCTTCCTCTGAGCAACTACTTCCAACAACCTCTTCATTTCTTCATCAGTCCAATTCTTTGATCGGTTCTTACATGTCTTCTCGCCCTTGGTTTTCTCATTTTCTGCCCCGTCAATCTCTCCAGTTCCACATCTCCTACGTTTCTTCGAGCCCTCAGCTTTCCCTTTGGCTTCCCCAGCAGTCCCTCCAGTTCTACTCTTCAACGAATAATTCTCATCACATCCTTCGTATTGGAGCTCGATGACCTGATCTTTCCGGTGAGGGTTTGTAAAGGTAGTAGGCCCTACTTTGTCAGGAAATTGAGCTTTAAGGCGGCCTCCAGGCTTGCTCGTCGCATCCTGATCAGCGGAGTGATATTGATCCACTACTGCGGCCCCCATAGCACCTATTCACAGACATTTACAATCAATGATGCACTCCAACACGTTAGCTCCACGGGAGACTTGGCCATGCAATATCTGCAACATGAAACCCTTTCAAACACAGGATTTTTTTTTATCTCACAGTCAAATGACATCTTCTACATGCCAGCATAAAATACGGATATGCATTCGCGATGCAAGGAAGCAACCCTGAGTGCAAGTTACCATGTGAAATAAAAATTAAGCACGCTTACAACCACATAGTAGCCACTACAATAGCAATCGTCCCTTGTGCCTGCTTGTAGCTTCATGGACCACATTTCTAGCTCGTCTGCAACCCACTGAAGCACCTGCAATCCGGGAGAATGGACAACAGCCTCCTCCATCCTCCCGGGTACCTGCTGGAGGTGCAACATTGTCCCCACCAGCCTTACCTATCTCTGTCACGTTCATGTCACCAGCAGCTGCGTCAATACAATTCTCGTCAACGGCATTTTCTGGCTGCTCTCTCTGAATCTCCTCGGCTCGAGCTGCCAATACGAATTTGTCCAGCGTCTTTAGGTATGGAAGAAGGCTCTCCCAAATCATGGGATCGTCGCTCACAGAATGCATTGCTGATGCTACTGTTATTTGGATACAACTCCGTCCTCTTCTCAAAGTACTGTATGTCGAAGCACTTCTTGAGCTGTCACAGTGAGTGTAAACCTGAAACAAATCACACTGAAAAAGCACACATGAAACATGCGAAAGCCAAAGCCACCTTAAATGCATTCCACAATCAATCACGAACCATATTTTACTGATCCAGGCTTTTGTGGCTCAGCACAAACATATACACACCCAATTTAGTGTTAAGCAGGGGCTCTAGGTGTTGGTCTCCACAGACACACCCAACCAAAACCCTGTCATTGTTGCAGCCATGTTTCGGTGCAATAATGCAAACAATCGAGGTAATGTAGGTAACGACGCCAGCAACTCTATCCGCAAAATTAAAGGCACAATTGAGATGTCACGCATGTCATCAGACGCAATTGTGTGAAGAAGCTGCCACTTCCTTTCAGCTAAAAACAAGAATGAATTCCAAGTCCACGAGAATTCATCAGGCAAAGAGATGGGATGTGCACCTTAGTGTGTTGACCCCGTTGATGCAACAATCTTGTGACCCCGTCCTCCAACTCTTGCCCACAGCGCAAAAGTACGCCAAAGCAAAATTCTAACCACCGGGTTGGTTATTGGTTCATGCATTCACTTCTTCTCACCATTTCCAAATCAACCTCGACGTCCATGCTTGCAAGCGTGCCTGGTTCACCATATCTGCAAGCAACCCTATAATCCTAATTCTTGGAGTGCCAAGAAGTGAGGCAAGAAGCGCCGGCTCAAACGAAACACAATCGGAGAAAAAACCGCACCTCGAGCTTCCGATTCTCGTTAGGACTCCGGCTGGTGAATATCGGAATTGCTACATTTTCGAAATACGGAAGAATAATTGCCGACTCCAAACGAGAGAAGTCGCAAGCATCGATCGGATCCGTGTGTGAGGCGTCATATCGGAACCCGTGAATCCACAGTGAAACCATGCTCACAAGTTACCTCCGTCATTGATCAGTCGGGGAGAGTATCGGAACTGCTACAGGATGTCGGAGGCGCAACAGTGTTGAGACGATAACGTGTCCCACACCAGAGTCTCGGACCAACTTGTCGAGACTGAGAACTTGTATCTTATGTTCGTTTGTTTGGTTTTGAGGCGTTCGTATCTCCAATCTTCTTCTTGGCAAACTAGTGGGTGGTGCTTCACTGAAAGTGCAATTATCAGTAAAGTTTGAAAATCAGTTCCATTATGATGCTCATCTTTCAAGGACCATGATGTGGGCACAAGGGTGTACAATATAATACCAAATAGCATTAGATGCTACAGAATAGTGTCTTCTACTAGTAGTGTGCTTTACCGTGAGTGATAGTCACCTAGTCATTGTAAGCAAAGCTAAATTTATTTTAGCCTAACCACTTGGTATTGGCTTCTTTATACATTGCATATTTATCTTGTTTATGCTTTTATATGTACAACCTATAAGCTTTTAGCCCAAAGAGGCTTGGTTGCTACAAAGATGAAATCATACCGTATGGAATTGATTTAGTGATGATTGTTTTGCATGAGATAGACTCTATCATCCACATATGGTGGTACATTGTTAATAGTGGTGTTTCAAAATGCCGTCACAATATTGTCCATTCCAAGTTAAAAGTTTATATATATATATATATATATATATATATAAGTCTTATTAAGATAACATTTGAGGGTGTTAGGTTTTAAGATTTTGGCTATGAAAAAAAACCAATATGTGCATTGATAAGTATGAAGGAATACATCTTAATCAATTTTCTATTTAAAAATGTTGCAATGGTTATAGACAATCAATGAATTTTTAAAAAATAATTCAAACCAAAACTATTTTGCACTTATTATTACCAATTTGGTCAATATTATTTGTTAAAAAATTAAAATAATAAGTTATTTTAAATATTATAGTAAAAAAATTAATCAAATAGTTGTTACAGTAATAAAAATTTGTTACAAAAATTATTATTGAATGGTTTAAAGCCAATTATAAATTAGTGAGTTTTTTATTCATAATTTTTGTTAGTAATATTATCTCTTATGCTTATTTTCTAATTTAAATTTATTAGAATTGAATTACATAAATTAAGTTTTGAGTTAGATAAATAAGTACATCTTGAAAAAACCTAATAAAACCTTATTCAAATATTAAGTGAAATTCCAACAAGCTTTATTTAAAATCTAAATATATCATAAAGTAGATTTTGAATCTCAATAATATTTAATTTGATTATTGGTATTGATTCAAATCTTTTTTAGGTTTTTAAAAAATAATTGACAATAAGCATATAAAATTAAAAGAACATTAAAGTAATAGATGAAGAAAAAATGCTTCTAATTTGCTCAAGTATTAATAGACTTCCTTCTTTAATCTTAATGGTGACCTATTAGTATTAATAGCACCTCTTTTTATTATTCTTTTATTCTTCAAATTTTTATACATGCTTAAAAAAAATTAAAAAATCTATATATTAAAAAAATCAATCCAAGTAGAATTTTGTTAAAAATTCTAAAAATCCTCATTGATCTTTAGAATCTAATTTTTAAGACCCTAATTCTTTTAATTTAATTTATTTTATTTATTAATTTGACTGTTTAATTTATTTCAATTTGACATAAAACAACTAACATGACTACACTTACAAACCTATAAATTTTTATTCAAAGAATTGCTACAAATCAAATATAAGTGATCAAAATATAACATCTTTTATATACTACAAAAAAAAAGTTATTCAAAATGGTCTTATATTTGCAAAGCTTTTACAAATTCAATGTTTATTTAAATTCTTCAAAATTAATACATAAAAAAGTCCTATCATGGGTGTTCTTTAATTCTAATCTTTTATCAACACAATAATTTTTTTATTTATTCTAATGTGTGGTTTTGTGTCTTGAGATCCAATTATAACTCTAGTTTACAACCAATATTCTTTAAGTATCAATCTATGATTTTTTTAGGTAATTTTTATTAAAAGCTACTCTTTTCTTTTATTTAAAGATTCTTATATTTATATGTTTGCTAACAAACTTTATTTTGTCTTACAATATAGTATAGATAATACTATATTAATTTTGAGTGATATTACATAAAATTTTATTTATACTATTATTTAATAAATTTAAGTGATATTATCAAATTTATCTATTTTAATCTATTTCTATCTATTCATATTATCTAAATAATACTATATTAGTTTTGAATGAATATCTACTCTTTTCAAGTGGCACAAGAGTATATTGAATTTTTCTTTCTTTAAAATTCATGTCTTTGACAGCTTTATAAAAGTGCTAAGTCATTGTTCTTGTTTTTTTTTAAAGTGAGTGAATTACTTTTCTTCTATTATTGTGCTTTGAAGTTTGCATACTATCCACCTTTAAACTAACAATTTAGTTTTTTAACATTTATTTTTTTTGAAAGAAAGTTGACTACCTCTTTTTGTAGAAATTTTTATTTGATATTAGGGGTTCTAAATTATCCTCCTCTAATTTGACTTATAAATACATTTGAATCCTTTATAAAAGTAAAAAATATGGATGCTACTCTTTGAAAAAGTGAGAATAGATTTGCAACTATTGTAGATCTTTACAAGTTCGTCAATACTCTTAGGATTGAAATCTCACATATTTCTAATGTGATCACAGCGATATTATTCCTATGCCTATGAAAGAAGTCAATAATGAGGTTCAAACTTTACACCAAGAAGTTGTACAATTGAGAGTAGCAAGTAGATCAAGTTTACAATTGAGTTCAAGAAATCTTACTACTACAAGTATGAGGGAGGGAAGGATAAATATGCTAAAGAAGTTTGATGAAAAAAGATCAAAGTTTCAAGGATTTCTACAACAAGTAAAGCTTTATTTAAGGTTACATCCTTTCCAATATCTTGATGGATTTATTCAAGTTGAATTCATAGAAGCATACTTAAATATTGATATGGATGTTCATATGTTGCACTTCTTTCTTAAAATACTAGAATTCTTCTTTAAAGATATTTATTTTTTCTTTTCATACAATTAATTTTTTAATAGGGTCTATCACTTTTAACAATAATTTAAGCACTTGACTTAGATAGTCAACTAAAATAGCTAATTTAGTCATAATCTTAAATAATTCAAAACAACTTTCTTGTATGTGAAGTAAAATAACTTAAGCAGTACAAAAATAATTATAGAAGTTGTCCATATTATGTCTTAGTAAGGATATTATATCTATATTTAAATCTCATGTAGAAGGCTAGATCCTATTATTTCTTTTTTTAATACAAATACAAACCTTCTTATTGCTTTAATCTAAGTTTTGACTTCTTTCTTTTATAGTATTTGTCTTTGTCTTTATTATGGGATTTTGTCTCTTCAAGGTACCATGCTATTTCTTAATAAATCAATTTTTAAAATTTTAACAAAGGTAAATGAACTTCTAGACTAATAAAAATGATATTGAAAAGGAGAGATGGATGAAATTTGATTCTTAGTCATTGTTAAAGCACATCATTGTTATTTTATGTAAAAACAAACTTAGAAATGCATTAGGCATCTTGCTATGAAAGAATTTGAACTTACCTTGAAGTTTGGTTTATAATCCAAATAATGCACAAGATATTTATAAACATGCTTTGGTATGTTTGAACAATCCAAGTAAGCTTAAAAGTATTTTAAGTACATCTTAATTAAATTCAAAAAAATATTAGATAAATCTTATTATATTCTAATTATTTTTGAAACAAGTATTAAATAATAGTTAATATATTTTAATCAAATTCCAATCAAACTATAATAAAATCTTAAATAAATCTTAACCAAATTCTAATCAAATTCTAATAAAATATTGATAAAATACTAATCAAATCTTATATCTTAAATCTTAAATCATAAACAAATTTTTACCAAATCTTAATTAAATCTAAAATCCTAAATCCTAATTAAAGCTTAATCAAATCCTAATCAGATCTTAAATCATAAAAAATCCTAATCAAATCCTCACCAAATCCAAAAGTACAATAAATCTTTAATAACTAATAATTTAACCATTGATTTAAATTCAAAACTTACAAACTTGTTAATTTATTAGTTAAAAATAAGCATAACAATTTTAAAGAAGATCAAAGATTATAAATAGGAGATAATCTTCATAATCCACTTGGATATTAGCTAGTTTTTTTTTTTTTTTTTTTTTTTTTTCCAATTTTGATGCCAATCTCTCATTGCTAATATCTCTTGATTTTACCATCAAATGGATTTCAAACTTTATATATTTGTTGAAAATAAAATCTACAATTCATGAAAAAAATGTTATTTTAATTTAATCAATAGCTAGCTATAAATTTTAAAAATTCTTACTAATCTTTTAAAATTCTAATTTCTAAGATTCTAATATACTTTAATTTTAATAACCTTCAAATGAATTGTTCAATCTAGCTCAAATTTATAACAAACATTCAATACAAATATAATCACACAACCAAAAAATATCAATTATAGATCTACTATTAATATCATAAAAATATCTAAAGTATAAACCATTTATATTTCTCAAAAGAACAAAGTCACTCGAAAACAATCATAACTTTGCAAAGTCTTTACAAAGTCATTACAAATTCAAATTACTCGAAATTAATCCCTAAAAATTCTCTTTTGAATCAACTCTTAAACCTAACTTGTTGATTAACTTGGGAACTCCAATTTTTTTGTGGATATGCAATTTTGTGCATTAGAATTTGATTCCAACTCTCATTCACAACTAATCATCTCCAAGTATCAATTCTTAGTTTCTTAAGATAATTTTTACTGTAAACTATTCTTAACCCCTTTCTAAAGATGTCTATATCAAACATTCTTTTTATCTACTTTGTTTTGCCTCATTTATGGCCATACAAAATAAATAAAAGCCTAGTTTGCAAATAGGCACCATTAACACTTACTAGTTTTACGACCTCCTTAACTATTATTTATACTTCTAAAGTAATTTGCTTCAATATTTTCAATTTAACTCTTCTATAATATTATTTTTTATTTTTTATTTTTACCTTTTAGTTGTGTTACAATACAACCTTATTGAATGGTATCAAGTAATAACTTTGTCCAATTTAAAACACATATAGTGGTGATTAAGCATGTTAGGATAGATTATGCAAGTTTTGCTGATTTTCATTAATGGGATAAAATGTGGAGAGTAATAATTCAAACACTTACTAATGTTGCACATTGTGTACTCCACTCAATCAATACTGTTCGACTATGGTTTCATCACTAAACTCCACTAAACTCCTATGGCAGGCTGTACAAATTGTGCCTAAATTGTTGTGCAACTCAGTTCTATCGGCATTATATTGAGGGTTGAGAGAGTTGACCTTAACTTTAGCTGAATCGCTGATTTCTTTGCACCTCTTACCATGGTTCTTTTCCTTTCTCGACTATCCCATCGCTACTGTAGAGGATACAGCTCTGTGATTGATACCGGTGTCTTGGAGTCTGTAGCAATTACAGATTAGAATAAGAGTATTAACCGGGCATACATCGGTGCCACTTGCCAACTTCATCAAGGATGGCTGCCACCACGACCTCTGGGAAGAATTAGCTGCGGATGCACACTTCGCTGCCGCACTAGGGTGCAGATCCGCTGGACTGTGGCTGATTTATCTGTCAAAATGGGGAAGACGAATTGCAACGTGCTGCTGTTCCTCCTCAGTTGTACATTATTGTTATCAGGTTTTGTTACTCGAGCGCAAGCGATATCGGAGTTTGACGACGTGTATTCGGATTTGGATTTGACAGAGGAGGAGCGGAAGGTGCTGAATCTCAGGGATGAGTTCGTCCAAGAGCAAGATCTCGAGGAATACTCTTCCTCTGAGAGTTTAGTAGATGAGGATGATGAGAATGGTGTGTTGGTTTTGAGCGCCAATAACTTCGCCGACGTTGTGAAGAGCCACCAGCACGTGTTGGTCGAGTTTTTCGCTCCTTGGTGCACGCATTGTCAGGCATTGGCGCCAGAGTACTCCAAAGCGGCGGTAGCGCTCAAGGAGACAGGTGTGGTGCTCGCGAAGGTTGATGCTATTGAGCACGGCGATCTTGCTGATGATTATGGTGTTGAGGCTTATCCAACTTTGTACTTTTTCGTAGACGGCGAGAAGAAGCCATACAATGGAGGACGAACAAGGTAGGAGTTCCGTTCTCAACCCGTTTAGGGGGCTGTTGCATATCGAGGGATGTGAAGATTCGGGTATAGAGTCACTAGAGGAATTTGGTTTTGTGGATATTGTTTCGGGTTGTTTGATGAGAAAAGGTGTTCCTGTCAACGTCGATTCGCCAGCGTTTGTAAGTTTTTACGCGTCGACTGGCCGTGGAGACTTGCTGTATCCTCAACCGACTGCACTCAGTGATTGGCCGATTTTGATTTTTATCGGGATCGGTCTTGCCGCACAAATTCAGCCACTTAGTGAGTAGGAATTGTCATGTTGTAATGCCGCCGTAGAATTCAAGAACCTGTAGTGTTAACTCCTCCCCTGAGTTCTCAGTAGCCTGTCAATACTTTCTCCTTCCGAGCTGTAAGACGTAGCTATTTCATTTTTCATTTTCGTTTCCCGGATGCTTTTCGAAGTTGTGTTAATCACTGGGTGGAGCTTTCAATTGTGGTTGGATATCCTATATAATTTTCCATCAGTTATTCTATGTAACACTTGTATTCGCATACTTGTTGCAGTTATGATATCATCAACTGGGTGATGAAGAGGATTGGTCCTGCTGTTAGCATCGTCGAGTCTGCCGAAGAGCTGCTAGAGCGCGACGCTCCCCTTGCTGTTGCCTACCTTGACAGCGTTAAGGGCGCCGACGCCGAGGAATTCATTGCGGTGGCAAAGCAGGAGGATGGAGTCGAGTTTCATATGACTGCAGATGCGCAAATTGCTAAGAAGTTTGGCCTTGAAAACAAGACTCCTGGTCTTGTGTTGCTGAAGAAGCAGAATGAGAAGGTTGCTATTTTTGGTAAGTGACGTTTTATTTTTGGACGCACTGCCTTCTCTCTTATTCTGTGGTGACTGTGTGCCACATCTTGTGATGTAAGAATTTTAGATGATGGATTATGCTGCAACCTAATCTCACGTCTGCACAGATGGATCGTTCCAGAGGACGTCCATTGGAAACTTTGTATCCGAGAACAAGCGTCCCCTCGTAATCCCATTCAGCCGTAAGACAGCATCACTTATATTCAAGTCTAATGTGAAGAGACAGGTATTTTGGAATATTTAATTTCTATATTTTTACATTAGAAGTGGACATGCTTCTATTTTCTGGTATTTTGTTCAAGTGAATCTCATGGAGACTCTAACCTCTTGTGTTTTCTGATATTAGCTGCTGCTGTTTGCAAATATTGCCGACTTCGAGAAAATTCGTGCTAATTATGAAGAGGCAGCTAAATCTTTTAAAAAGAAGGTACGTATAGTCACATTTAATCGTATTGTTCTTTATCAGTAAGTAGCTCTATTTTTAATTTCTAAATTATTCTATGCTCGTTTTTCTAATCGACAAGGCTGTAACGGATGCAGATTGTTTTCGCCCTCATCAATCTTTCCGACGAGGATGTCGCCACTTCTATTCTAGATTTCTTTGCACTTGATAACGAAAGGACTAGGGTATTGTCTTTAAATTTACCTTGTTACATTTTTAGAGTTTTTTACTTATTCAGGTGACATGCAAGTGATTTGACTTCCTATATTGTAAGTGCTTAATATGGCTGTGGACCTTTTGGTCAAAATTTTCACTTTCTGCTTGATACAAATGGGTAATTAATATTGTTTCATGATTTCTGAGTGATGTTTAACCTTATGCCTGTGGTTGGTTAACAAAGTGTTTATGTCGAATTGTGATTGCTGTGTCTGTGCTATTGCATGGCAGCTTTTGGGTTTTGTTTCTGAGTCTGGTACCAAGTATTTATATGATGGAGATTATAGTCTTGATTCACTAAAGGTAAGTCTCCCTCAACAAGTTCAAGATGATATGTGTGCTGCTTTGCCACACAATTTTTTCTTTCATGAATCATCCAGTTCAAATTATTAGATGGGTTTGATCCCGGAAGCCCTGTGTTTCAGAAATGTTGGAACATTTTTATTTATTTTAAAATACACTTCGCAGATATGGTTTTCGTTGTGCAAGAGAAGTCTTTAAAATTCTCATCTTTCTCTTTGCAGCAATTCTCGGAGAAGTTTTTGGCCGGAGATCTTACTCCCTATCGCAAGTCACAGAAAGCACCCGAGGAGGTGTGGCATGTGTTTCGTAAAAATACAGTCTTTATGATGGAGCTCTATATCCCAGTGTTCTCTTTTGATCAAGTCAAACCAATTGTTCAACACAAAACAGAAATTCCATCACTTTCTTGCCTTTCGTTTTCTTTGTCTTAAACAGTATGGAGCTAAACGGTGTACAAATTGGTGTGCGTAGAATGCTGGACCTGTCAAAATTGTCGTAGCTTCAACATTTGAGCAGATCGTTCTCGATAAAACCAAGGATGTTATTCTTGAGGTGTGAACTTAAACAGAACCGCTCCTTTCTTTATATGATGTCTTAAACAGCCGGAATCTAGTTAAATTTTACATCGTGTTGTTTCACTTGGTGTATTTCTGTATTTTATCTTCTCTTCACACTTAGAGTTTTACATCCAAAAGGACTATGTTCGGTTTGGTCTTGTTTACATCTTGGTTCATTCTAATGTTGTCCAAGGATGAGTCAGCATCCTCTTATATGCATTTTCCACTTTTGTAGGTTTATGCCCCATGGTGTGGGCGCTGCAAATCTCTGGAGCCAGAATACAATAAGTTGGGAGAAGCCTTGGAGAATATCAGCTCAATAGTGATTGCTAAGATGGATGGCACCAAGAATGAGCTTGAACGCTTCAAGGTAGTCTCAACTACTTGTTGGATTCTCAAACGGCTGATTTCTTTGTGAGTCCTGTCTGTTTCTGTGATCAAGTGTGATATACTTTACACAAAAGGCCTTGACATGCATCGCCTTTCCTGATTTTTTTTCCCGCAGATTGAAGAGTATCCTACCATTCTTTTCTTTCCAGCAGGAGACAAGAGCGATCAGCCAGTAAGTTTTCTCTTTAAACAATTGGTCATGACTTTGAGTGGTCAGAAAAGTTACTTGCCTTTAGGGAAGTATCATGATGAAATTTCCATCTTTCTGCGCAGACACTACTGTAATTTTGGAACATGTTAGCTAACTTTCAGTTCTGCAACGAAAGTCGTCTCATTTTCTGGATATTGCAGGCTTCTCTTGAGACGGTGAGGACAGCTGCTGGTTTCGTTAAGTTCTTGAAATCCAATGCTAAAGTTCCCTTCGAGGCACCTGATATTCCAGAGCCAGAGTCAGAAGATGAAAGTGAGGAGAGTGTTGTGAAAGAGGAAGAAGCAGGCCAAGTTGAAGAAAATGACACAAAAGATGAACTCTAGATCATCTCATTCAAAGTAACGTTGAATCAACAAGTATGACGATTCTTGAGAGTTTCGGCTATTTTGGAACGAGAAAGTAAATCCATAGTTATGAAATTCTCAAGTTGTTCCAGTGTTTTTCTACTTGATTTACCGCATGAAAATGTGGTTAACCTGCAAGGGTAATCACGCCGCATGGCAGTCTTTTCCAAAGTTCACTGTGCTATCACTCCTGAGGAAGTGTCCTTGTATTTTAAGTTGAATTTCGTTACAGGGTTTTCAAAGCTGAATTTTTATGGAACTTGAACAGTTGTATTAAGAGGTTAGGTATTGCTAATTGTGAGTAAATATTGAGGTATGAAGATATATTCTTTCATTTTGTAACTATTAGTCTTAAAGATTTTTTTATAGTTTCTTGCATGTACAATCTCAATTAGATATTATCATTGATGGAAGTTAAAGAATAATTCAGTAATTGCTGATTTGAAAGTTTTTATTTTCAAAGTTAATTGCCCATTATGATATCTTATAATTAGCTTTGTTTTTAAAATACATTCTTTTCAGTATTATAACAAGTGAACAAAATCTATTTAAAGACCTTGCATTTAATGATGTTTCAAAATAGTATGAAAAAGCGTTCAACTTTGAGTTTAAACTAGAATAGTATTACTTTGATTGGATTTTATAAACTGAAATATTATACCACATGCACATTTTTGTTATTTATTGCATCTTCTATTCAAACCTATTTTTACTAATATGAAAATAAAAATCTTTAAATAAATATTGAATTTTTTTGTATTAACATTTTCATGTATTTATTTTGTGCTATTAGAATAGTTGATCTATTTAATATTTACCTATCCATATTTATTCAACTATTAACCTTAATTAAATGAATTTGATCAAATTTTTCAAGAATAAATTCATCTTTAAAAATTTAGTAGAGACACCATCTTTTTTAAGTATTTCAGTTTACTTAAATAGTTTCAAATATGTACTTTAACATGTATTTAGTCATTTGTACTAATAAGAAAATAAAGGAATAAAAACATCTTAAAAGTTTCTAATTTTTTAATAATAATTTATAAAATCTTATTAATTCTATATATATATATATATATATATATATATATATGTTTTTTTTTATCAATGTACAATCAATGTTTTGAATAATTTTTAGCTTATTCACATTTATGTAAGAAAATAAATTTTTAACAACTATAAGTTGTAATTTTTTAGAATTTTTTGGATGATAAAAGAAAAAAAATAAAATTTGAATTCATGAATTGTGATATCATGTATGGATTTTGTTATTATATAAATTAAAAGATACATATTTTTAATTAACTTTCTAGTCAAAATTATGCTTTACATCTAATATATATACAAGTACTACTAATAGTTTTTTTTATTGAATATATTTTTAAAATGTTGGCATTTAAAATCATTTATAATATCCAAATGTATCAAAGACATAAATTTCAAAGAACCAAAGTGTCAATATACTCTTGTATTAGTAGAAAAGAATACATAATCATTCAAAGATGATGTAATATTAAACTAAAATGGCTATTGCTAAAGAGAAGAAGACTAGAGACACTTGAAACAAGACTAAGGATAAGAAAGTTGTTGAGAAGAGTAAAAAAGGCTTAATCCTTGCCTCCATATATACTATCTAATCAAGAGCTATTAGCAGATGTGATATGTAGCTAACTTATTGGCTAAATTTCTAACTTATCAATTAACTACAAATACATATAAAATAATAAATTTCACTATAAGATATTATCATATCTACTTGTATATATCTTTTACTTAATACTTTTTATCTAGGTAATTATGTATTTTTGTGACATGACATATCTTTTTAGAAAGAAGTATTATAAAGAGTTGTAATCATATTTTAAAGATGTCCAAGATTTGACAAATTATATTTATCACATACTATAATATTTATTCTCTTTGAAGATTGTTGATAGGTCCTCTGAGCTATTAATAGTATTTCATATCAAAACAAAAAGACTATCCTAATATTTGATTATTATTAAAGCCTTCATAACTTCCTTCAAATAAAACATCTAAAATACTATCAGGGATGGTTTCTACCTTCAATAATATTATCAAATATTGAGAGTCTCTTCTAAGGTTGTGATATCAAACACATTATATTTCACAATTAATTCAAATAAAAACATATAATTTTTGAAATTTTTTATTTCTATTGTATTGTTTTTAATGTTGTGACAATTTCAATGTATTATCCAATAATTCAACAAATAATAGCTCTTGAGTTAAATTTGCTAGTTATTGATTCTTCATCTCTTTAATACTATCAATACACAAAAATCATAAATAAAAATAGATAATAAAATACAAGCTTTACTAAACCTTGTTTCTTTTATAGCAATAATTTTTTGATTCTTTCTCTTGATTTTGATGGATGTTGATGAAAATCATAACCTTTTTTAAAGTATTTTTAAGATTCTTAGATGGCTTCTATATATATTTTTTAATATTATATCCATGCCAATGTACAAAATATTCCAACCTATTTTGTTTATTATTGTCTATATTTATTAAAAAATAAAAATAAAATAAAATATGGTATTTATCTTTTTCTTGATAAATCTATTATCTTATATGGTTCAAAAAGAGACATATAGAACAAAGGGTAGATCTTTGTAGACTTTGATAGGTGTAATTGATATACAACTAGATTGATCTATATACAAATAAGAAATGGTCCAAATTTACAATAATCCAACTTGTCACAAAAACAAATAATTTTAATATTAAAAAATAACAAAACATTCTTATCTATGTAAAATTGTGATTATTTCTTACAATAGGCATATGCATTGATTTTTTGTTTTTTTTTAGCTTTTTTTTAATTGTGCCTTCATTATTATATATAGCTTTGATAAATGATTTGTCAAATCTTTTGCTACAAGATTATTAATTTTTAAGAAGTTAAAAATATTAAATTATAGATGATAATCATAATTAGCAAAAAAAAATATATCTTTTGAGTAAAAGAATGTATTTTTTTTATTATAAGAAGACTTTACTAATAATAAAAGAATTGTTCAATCATCTTGATGGTAATTGATGAGACACTTCAAATATTGCTTCAAATCCTAACTTATCTATTTTATTCATTTCTTTGTTTGAAGATGAAAAGCCAAAGATAATTTTATGTTTACATTCAACATCTTAAAAAGAATTTTCTAAAACTCAAATTATAAGAAACTCTTAATTTTAAATTCCATTGTCAATCCATGATAGCAATAAATATTATCAAAAAATAATTTAATTATTTTGTACCTATCATAGTTTTTATACATAGTACAAAATAAACCATCTTGGTGAAATGATTTACTATTACAAATATAGAATCATAAAAACTTAAGATTAAAAGATTTGTGATATAATCTATAGAATTAAAAGACCATAGTTGTTTTGATATTAGTAATGACTAAAGAAGTTAATAAGATTGATGATAATAGTTTTTGATCTTAAATAAACATCACATAATTATACAAAGACTTTAATTACCTTATAAATTTGAAACTACAAATAATCTCTAGATATTAGTTTTAAAGTCTTATTATATTGAAAATGTACAATAGTTCAGAAGTCATGAAAAGCTTGAATAACAAGTAATTGTGCTTCACTTTTTGAAACATATAAGTATTTTTTGAAATAAAATAGATTATTCTTGAACTCAAACTTAGAAGTATCATAAGATTTATATAGATTATTCTCAATATCATGAATAAGAGAAATTGAAGACATACTTGATGAAACTTGCTTAAGAAAGATTGAATCAACAATTAATATTGATTTCATTATCCAAAGATAAAATTACACTAACTTCAAAGAATTATTTGTTGTTGATGAAAATATTTATTTCTTTCTTTTGATATAAGATAAGAATATTCATAAAGAGCATTTAATAAATCTTATTGTTTTTTAATCAATAAATAATCTTAAATATAAATCTTAACAAAAACATGCTTTAATAGGCTTGACAGTTATTTAGAAGATGTGTTGACATGAAATTCTCAAGGTTCTTGTGATCTTTATATACAATGACATGACTTGAAGCGCCTTCCAAATAATGACACCATTCTTGAAATGAATCTACAATTGCAAGAAACTCTTTGTCCTAAATCTTATAATTGGTCTCAATTGCTGATTTTTTTTATAAAAAAAAAAGGTTATTAAGTGAAGTTTGTGATTTGTTTCTATTTACAAAAACTTTGAATCTAAAGTAAAGATTGATGTATTTGTTTTTATAAAAAAAATATCTTAAAAAAGTCAATACAATACAAGATTAGTATCAAAGACAAAAACTTAATAAAAGCAAATAAACAAATAAGACTTTTTTCAAAGAAAGATGATAAAATAATATATATATATGGAAGAGAAACTAAAATGGCTATTGCTAAAAGACAAGAAATCTAGAGATCCTTAAAATTAGACTAGAAGCAAAAAAAGAATTGATAAGAATGAAGAAGACTGCACTTTTGCCTCTATATATACTATCTATCTAAAATTTACATGGTGACGTTCTATAGGACTTCCAACTTATGTCCAATTTTCAAGACACATGTCTTAACTTATAAGGGAAGTTTTCTATATGTGTACTACATTGTTAACTTCTAGCATAAGTTATCAATACATGCGACACATGGCTAATTTGTTGGCTAAGTTTTTAATTTGTTAATTAACTATAAACATATATAAAGGTGATATTGTATCTATAAAAGCTTCTAATAAACTTTCTTAAAATATATTATAAAATTAATTTGCTTTTATCTATTTCTTTTTATTCATATTATATAGATAATTATTAAAATAAATATTTTTATCTATGGCATTATATCATTTTCTAGGAATGAAATCTACAAAGAGTAATGATCAAATATTGATAAAGTGCAAGATGTAACAAATTTTATTTATTATATATTTTAATTATTGTTCCTTTTGAAGATAGTTGATAAGTCTTCTTAGCCATCAATAATGTTTCATTCTAAGGTAAGAAGACCACCTTATTATTTTATTATTATTAAAGCCTTCATAGCCTCTATAAATCAAAATAATTATTATACCATCAAGAGTTGTTCTTACCTCTAATAAAATCACCAAACATTGATAGTCTCTTCAAAGGTCATAATACCAAATGCATTGTATCTTGCTATCTATTTAGAAAAAAATATTTTATTTTCAAGGATCTTCATCTCAATTATATTATCTTAAAAGCTATGAAAATTGTAATGTTTCATTTGATTAGTCAATAAATGATGATTCTTGAGCTGAATCTTATTACCCATGTAAAATTGAGATAGTTCTTTACAATAAGCATTTGTGTTGATCTTT